TAACGATATGTATTGCGAAATAACTTTTTCTCGATAGAAAAGTTAAACTATTGCGATAGGCCTCATCTCTCTTGTCCTCTTAAAAAAAAAAAAAAAAAAAAAAAAAAAACAGCCAATCCAAATTAACTAGCGCAGAGCCGAACCAATCACAGCCGCAGCGTCACGCCACGTGACTTGTTACGTACAGCACAAGTGCCAAGCTGCACATGTGTATTTGTTTGGGAAGCAGCCAGCCGCCGTGCCGCCCGGGTAATGGAGGAAATGAGTGTGCCGACTAGAGAAAAATCAACCGAGAGCGTGACCGAAGGTTACCGAAGAGAAAACAGATGACGGTTCCAATGCCGGAGAGATTGTCGAACGGAAGAGCCAGAGAAGTTCCGTAGTGTGAAGGTATTTCAAGTCTGACAAAAAACAGAGTAAATTGTGCCGAAAGCAAGTCTAGAAATACAATAAAGCGGTGCATGCTCAAACTCTGACTGGAAGCGCTAATTCGTCATTCGGCTTTTGTCAGACTAAAGTAACAGTTAAAACTGTTTGAAAAGCTAAGCTATACAACAAGGAGAGATTGAGAATTTCCTTTTAGTTCTCAGTTTATTTGATATTGACAAAAGTTAGTCAATTTTGTCTGTTTTTCTGTAAAACAAACTAAGATTTATTTTTAGAATTAATATTTTGTTTCTAAGTGGAATTGACAATTTAGTAGTCTGTTTTGTTTGTTCTATTTTGAAACTTAAACACTTTAGCGGCTGCCTTTTGTGTAGTTTGCAATATTTGCCTTTATTTATCTGAAAAAGTCTCATGTTCTTTAAGTACATCTACCCTGTTGAACTTATTATGGGAAATAAATATTTAAATCAAAACAAGCTGCTGATTTTTTCACATTTTACTTGTGAGCAACGGCACATTTAAATCTTACAAATATAGTTATTTGGCTTATATCGTGATATATATCGTTATCGCCTGAAATGAAAAAAAACAAAAACATATCGTGATATGAAAAAATCTTATATCGCCCAGCTCTAGCACAAATTAGAGCCAATATGTTCCTCCTCTGCTTTGACTCTTCATAAAGTGTGAGCTGCTCTGCTGCTTTTAGCAGTCTGAGCCTGTTTCTCTCATTGGTAAAGAAAATTATAACTTAGCTTAAGCCAGCTTCTTGTCCCAGTCTCACTGATGTACTTCCACCTTTCCTTTTTAAAAGCTCTGGGAAACTACTGGACCAAATATTAAAACTATTATTAACACCAGTCTCACTTCTGGAATTGTGCCTGCTTACTTTAAACAAGCTGTGATGCAACCTCTCATTATACAAAACAAATATGGATCCTTCTGTTGTCTCTAGTTTTAGGCCTATTCAAAACTGGCACCAGAAGCGTCTAAAGTTTTAGAGAAAGACATACCTTTTAAAGATTCAACTCCCCTAAACCACTGATGAACTGTCTAAAGGTTATCAAAGCATGATGGCCTTAGTGTTTTTTCTGGCTCTTAAATCAGAATAATACTGATATGTTTTTACCTTCTATTTATTGTTTTATTAATTAAACCGTGTGGTGTTTTCTGCCTGATATAGCACTCTATAAAACTATTGTGTTAAAAAAATTACCTTTAAATACAATTGGATTGAATAAACTGGAAGTGAAGGGAGATGCAGAAATTGTAGTGACTCCAATCATTTGTCATATCTGTATTTTTACGGTAACATTTTTAAGACAATAGTGCATTTCCAGCTTTTGGGGAATGGTCTGGGTTTAGCCCTTTCCTGTTTCAACATAACAATGTCCCCAAAGGCAAGCCCACAAAGAGCAGTTTTCCTCACTTTGCTGTATAAGAGTGTAAGTTCGACCCCAGCAAGCACCTCTGGGATCGAATGAAAATGCAACCTTTGACTAGTATCTGTTCTTTAACTCGCACATTAAGGAAATATCTAATATTGCATTGTGTTCTTTCATTTGTGCAATATTGCTAAAATTACAAACATCCTAAAAAACTAATCCTTCACATTAACAGGCTGTTCTAAAGCCCCGAGAATACTGACAGGGTCTAGAAATCACATAATACCTTCTCTTCACTAACTCCCTATTTAATCCACAATTGAATTTAAAATCCATAAAAACATATAAAGTCATAAATGATCATGAACCATCATATCTTTAAGATGTCTTGGTATCATATGATCCCAATGCAGCATGTTGCTCCCAGACAGCAGGCTTACATGTAATTCTCACATTTTCCAAAAGTTAGAAAAATAAAAATGCACCTAGTTGTTGCCCTGATTTTTGAGGCTGCTAAGACACAGACACAAAGTAAATTTTGGTATCACTGTTGTCATTTTCAAAAGTCTATTTATACTTCTCTAGACTAAAACACAATTCTGAAGTTTTCGCACTAAAACAGCAAGATCTCTGTTTTAGGGGTCCTAGTGTGGCCAATAGACATATACACTGCTGAAACCTAACAATTATATGAGTAAACCATTTGTGGATTTTAGTGCCTCATTTAACAGCAAAATAAACAACATGTGCTTTGGTTCCTCAATATGTAAGTATATGACTTCTTTACCAGACGCCCACAGCAACTTTGAAAACACCTCTTTAACCACCATCCTGAACACACAAAACTCAGGTTATGTTCCCAGTTCAAAACTGCTCAACCTCTACTCATCAATGCAAATTTGCAATTTGGTCTGATCACTGACAATGAAACACCTTACAGGTTTCAAATAGCAAGTTTGTCAGATTGCTGTGAGAAGAGCAGCCTGGTCCTTAAAACTTATAAAACCAATGAACTGATCAAAGACTGGGAATAGGAACAGGAAGTATAGCCCACCTGCCCCTTCACATATGTGGGGGCAGGTGGTAGTAGTAGAGACTGAAGTTCCTTGGATTTAACTTGCCCAAACCCTTGACTTGGACATTCAAAACCCAAAGCCTGGTCAAAAAAGTCCAAAGACTATTTTCCCTAAAATATCTGAAACAAGCACAGCTCTCTGAAAAACTTCGGCTAGCATTCAATAGAACCACGACCGACAGCATCCTTACAAACTGGATCACGCTGTGATACAGAGTCTGCACAGCTGCCAAGCTGAAGCCTCTACACAGTGTAATGAAGACTGCAAAGCACGTGATGGGGCTTGTAACTCCCAAAGTTAGAAGACATTTACATCAACCATCTGTGGAAGAAGGCTGGAAGCATCATGTCAGTCACTTCACACACCCTCTATTTGAGCTTTTGCCACCAGGTAAACGATGCAGATCAATAATATCCCATACAAACTGAGGAACAGCTTTTTCCTGACCAGCTGTGGCCTTTGCCAACCCCCAATACACTACAATAACTTGCACTGCCAAGAACTTTAAGGACTATCCTTATACACCCTATATATACATATATATATATATTCATCTTAATCTGGAGTAGTAATCTATTATTATTGTTTTTTTCCAATAGGATAGGCTCTCTTTTGTGGGATGCCAGTCTATATTGAATTTACTTGCATAACCACAATAAAGTTTACTCTGTTCTATGAATGCAGTTAAAGGTCTGCCTGTGCATTTGTACTGTAGTACATTTCTAAAAGTCTCCCTAAAAAGGAGTTTTTCCTGTCTATTATTCGGCTGTTATGACAGCATTCAATTGTCACTCATGTCTGTAGTGTTTTCACTTTGAGTAATACACTGCACAGCTGGAACAGCTAGTACTGTCACAGCTAAACCCTAAATATTTGGAAACACACGCCGTAAAGTCTTCTTCTTTGAGAGATGACAACTTGTCAAAAGGAAGTTATCTACGTTATCTTCTGTTCCATTTTAAATATGATGTAGTACGCCACGCCGCAGTCAGTCTGTAAAAGGAGCTGTCTCCAGAGCCTCCAGCAGGAGCTTTCAATTCACAGACAAGTTTATGGAACAAGGGAAAACCGCTAACAGTCCGTCTATCAATTTATGTAAACACTTTGAAAAATGATCGACTTTGTGTTAAAAATCGTTTTCCGATGAGTTTCGGACACCCGTAAAGTGCAGCAAGGCCCGGTTAGCAAGCCTAGATTAACGGCTAAGTTTTTAGCAATAAAAGCAACCTTGTATTTATGTTTGCTTTGCTTAAGCTGACGTTAGCCGTGAGGGTGACATGGAGTTCCGTGGCAAGACAAGAATGACCAACAAAACAAAGAAGAAGTTAAGCTAGTGTGCTCAAAACATTAGTAGAGAACAAATAAGCAAGCTACCGAGGATTAACGACGTGCTATATGCCAAAATATGCGCCTCGATGTAGCCGTTAATTTGGTGGGGGGGGGGCTGGGGCTAGCTTAGTTGCGGCTAGCTTAGAGTAACATTTTATAGACTTGGCCAAAACACACATAAGAAATACACATGTTCCTCTTCGTGTCAGCACTATTAACCATGGGCGTGTTGTGGAGAAGCAGGCCCATTCAGAACTGTGAATGTGGCCGTCTGCAAAACAATGGGTGGCAGCGGAGAGGACAGCTAGCAGACTGACCTGACAAACACATCAAACAAAGTCAGCCTGCTCGCTAGCTGCACTAGCTAACTTCCAAACCCGAGCAACGCGCTTTTTAACAATATCGACATCTTTCAAAATATCTTATGTACTCCCTGTCCAACAGATTTTAAGTATTTTAACACAAGGCTGTAATGTCATGCAGAAATCCGACTGAATTAATTAGATATTTGAAGCTAGAGTTTTGTGAGCAGTGTTTGACGGGCCCAAAACTGACTGCCAATGTGAAAAAGAAAATGGCATTTGTATTTATACCAAAGCAACGCTGTCTCACATGAAAATACTACTGCAAAATAAGCTGCTGAAATGTCATTGTTTCCAGTGTCTTATGGCTGGATGCAAAGGACAGCTAACCAAGAAAGCACACAAAGTTACATTTAGTTAGCCACCAAGCTAACATGCTTCCATCAAGCTTCAGTGGACAGCGATGCTAACACCAAGCAGCTAGTTCAGCTTTACGTAAATGACACGATTTGTTTACTTACTTTCATTTAAAACCTCCACCAGCTCGGCGCAGTTTTCACACATTGTTCATGAAGAGGCAAACTAAGTACACCAACTCAAACCATTGCACTGGAAACAGTTTTTGGCTGGCAGTTAGTTGTTTTGAGGATAAAAGGGCCCACTGGAAGGAGTAATTGGTGAAGGTTATTCCACTAAATAAAACCAGGAGGAGCAGTGAAGTGTAGAACGGGATTTGCATCCAAACGAATTTGATGTACACCAAAAATAAAGAGGCACTGTAAGGAAGAGATCGAGTCAGTCTCCAATCTGTGCGATACTTGAGAGCGCAGGCAGAGCAGCCATGTTGGAAAAGGAGGGGGGGGCGACACAGCATGGAGACCGTTCGGGACTTTACGTCCTCTCTCCACCGCCAGTTCGTTTTTCTTCGGTTGTCTCGCGATAACTTTCAAATGAGGTAATATTCACAACCTCTAATCACAATCTCAAGGGCAAATGGAGTGAAAACAGCATGTTTTCACAAAATATGAATAGTTGGCCCCTCTTTTTAGACAAACACGCTTTGTGTTTCTATATTGTTATAATTTAGGGAAAATATTTATTAAAATGTTCCTCTGTTTAAAAATTCAAATACCTTTTAATTCATTACATTAGTTCATAGTAGGTTTGGTTACTTTAGTTGAATTGAATTATTAATGTATTCAGTTCAAAGAGCAGAACATCACACTGTTCGAGCAGTGTCTGCATGTGCTCTGTGCATTTATTCTACTACATTTGTGCATACTACTGTATACGTATTGTCTGATATTACAGGTTTTTCTGCACTGATATTTAAATGTATGTTTATGAAATCACCTTAAAAACCTGGACAACCCTCTTATGTAAATTAAAAATGCCCTTGTTTTTGACAGAAAAGCACGTTTATTGTTGTTTTCTTTGTAATGACATTAAATGGATCCGAAATATTATAAATGATTAATGTAATCATTAATCATCAATCATTCATGACTTGTAATGGAATATATATGTATATATAGGTTTACAAAGAACCATTTTCATGATGTATGGTTTCGAGACAGTGGTACCAACAAAAAGACAGGAGGGCGAGTTGGAGGTGGTCGAGTTAAAAATGTACAGATTTTCATTGGGAGCGAACAGAATAGACAGGATTAAAAATTAGTACATTATTCGGCGCACTCTGTCAGTGCGCCCCAAGGCGGCTATGGCTACAATGTAGCTTGTCATCCCCAGTGTCTGAATGTGTGTGTGAATGGGTGGATGACTGGATGTGTAAAGTGCTTTGGGGTCCTTAGGGACTAGTAAAGCGCTATACAAATACAGGCCATTTACCATTTACCATCCGACTAGGCAAGGCTGAAATGGTTTCAGCATGTGCAGAACTGGGATAGTGGATATTTGGGGGGAAAGATAGTAAATACAGAGCTGTCAGGTGGAAAAGTGGAGGGAGGACCTCACATGTCTTTGTTGGGTTGGTGTGACAGAAGAGAATTATAGGGATAAGCTGAGATGGAAGGAGATTTTAGTTGGTCTCAGCTGGGTCCACCCCAAAAGGAAGCAGCTGGAAAAAGGAAGGCGATAATCTTGCTAACCCAAACCTTGATACTTTTGCAGCACAACTTTTATAGCAGAACCTATTATGCTCATCTCCAGCCATATATTTGTATGTGTGACCCTATTATAGTAGCTTTGCATTGATTCACAGCTAAAAAAAATAATCCTTATTTATATTGTACGGGGCCTTGGGGCAGCTGTTTTAACTTCCTTCCACCTCCGTTTAATCCAACTTTCTTCTGATTGGTTGACAAT